TTAGGATATTAATTATACTATTTTTTATATTATAAATTTTCTATATAAAACTTTGATGGGCAAAAATGCGCATGATTCGGAAACATGCGCATGAATGCGCATTCATGCACATGATTCAGGTTTCATGCGTACGCATGATACCCATCTCTAGCTTCGCCTCGAGCCAAACCCGATATAGCATTTTATTAAATGCTATTTCACATGTCGGGGTTTTGCGCCTTCGGTTCAGGGACCTTGGTTCGGGTTGTGGCTTCAGTTCGGGGACCTTGGTTCGGGTCATGGCTTCGGTCATGATCACGTTTCCCATGTGCCTACGGCTAGGTCACGTTTTCTCACTTCCTCACGTGCCAACAGCTAGGTCACGATTTGCCCTTATAGTATCCTTTTGCAAAAAGATTTTTTTCTTCAATTTTTATAATTATGATGATAGTTACAATGGATAACACGGAGTCCATTCCGAAAATTGATTTATGTATGTTTTGTTATTTCAATTTAATCATTATTATTATACTTTTGATATTTTTGATTTTGAATTTCAAAAAAAAAAGCAAAATCAAGGTACGATCAATCTAAATATATCAGTCGAGTAAATCATTTTATTGATACAGTATAACTGATCTAAGGTATTACACTATTATTAGTATATTTTTTTGAAATCCAATTTGATAAATTCACTTAAGTTTATTTCATCTGTACAAACAAATGAAATTAGGACATTATTCGTTTCAAAATCCGGCCTTGAAACATCCAAAAAATTAATTGATGATTATAATTCTGGAAAATTAAAAGATGTAAATTCAAAAAGTTTATGGAAAGCAAAAAAAAAGCGAGTTACGTATTCAAAATTTTTTATAACAAAGAAAAGCTTGATTTTTAATTTAATACTAATATTTTTTTAAAAAAATAAATAATTTTTAATAATAGTTGTCGATCCCAGACACTGGTGAACCAATATTTTTACCATTTAGAATGTCATGCTTTGTACCGACTAATCTTGTTGTTGTCGCTGGTATGTTAATG